GAAGCTCAAGTGTGGTGAACTTCGCAGGGAGTTGTCTGGCATGCCACGCGGGGATAGCTGTGATATTTCACCCTCCCTTTTGACACCAAGCTCTCTACCCAAGCTAGCTTGAACATTTCTGAGCCATCTTGGACCGGATAGCCACCCTCCAGGCGCCAAGGCGACAGGGCCAACAGCTTTCAGGGACTATTCAAGCTAGAGTCTACGCCAGGTATACGCCACTCTCCCCGCACCAGTCAACGACAAAAAGGGGTCGCGCTAGGGCTGAGCTGACCAAGCGTCTGAGTGTCTCGGGAGGGCATGGAAATCCAGAAGAGCATTTTTACCATACAGAAGCTAGATATTAGTCTCTTGATCCTTCGTGTATCTGAGATCTGTCTGACGCGCTGAATTGATTGGACCGTGATCTCCAAGTCCGGCACCCGGTCCCTCCCCAGCCTCGTCGGATGCTGTGCCACGCGGATGTTGTCTATCCCGCCGTCCAGGATGTGACAGAGTGAACCCTTGCCGCGGAATGATGAACTTCCTGCTCTTGCCGCGCCTCTTCGACTGAGTACACAGACGCTGGAATCCGCCTGCCAAGTCGTGATGCAGCGATCCTTCATCCGGCCTGATCATCATCCGAAGATCGGTTGGGCTGATTTCCATTTTAGGCCATTGATCCAGCAGGTTCAGACGATTGGGATCTTAACAAGTAGGTGAATTAAACACAAAAAGTGTGTAAACATACTAAGAAACATGGCCACACAGACTGCGACAGGGACACTGGACGAGGGCTCACGTAAGACCTAAGCCAATACCACTGTTCCAACGGGCGCCCAGCAAGCTGGTTCGGACGCGATCAGCCGCCGCTCATCTCCCGTGAATGCGCCATTTCAGAGATTCCACCTTGGCATCGCGCTTAACGGTTCCTGGGATCCGAGGTGATCAGACGTTATTCTAGGGATTGGTGTCTGCCTGCAGTTTGTATGCTCCATCCCCCACAGGGCTGGAAACATTCACGTACTTGTAGCTTGACCCTCCACATTCTTGATTGTGGACGACGTACTGCGTACATCGTGACCTCGATTTTCTCTCTTTGCTTCTTGCATCGCAGGTATGGCACGCAATTCACCTACAGGCAAGGTGCCTGCCTTCACCTTTCTGCCGATTCTGGCATCGATGATTGTGGCCATGTTGATTGTGGTCATCATTGCATCAGGTTCGCGGCCTGGTGTTGGCGATAAACTCTCATTTCTTCGGGTGAGTGATATCCTATGCTCGTTTCTCGTCACACTTATAGCTCTAACCGACTCAATAGGTTGATGCTACGAACTTGAATATCCCAGCGAAGCTCGGCGGATCGCAGTACCTCCAAGACCTCTCGAGAGTCTCTGGCGCCGACCTCGTCGGGCAAGATGCAACCCCAGCAACGCTTCAGATCTTCGACGTCTACTATGTGACACTTCTCGGATCTTGCGGGCACGTCAATGATGTGACGGTCTGCACCACGCGTTTGGTCGGGTACTGGTTTGACCCGCGCAGCGACCTTAAGCTCGACGCGACCTCGATCGCGGGGAGCTTCTCCAGTAACCTCAACGACGCCCTGAACAAATATGCCAAGACATCCTCTTTCTTCGGTGTCGCGTACATCTTCGCATTTGTTTTGGCCATCCTGGCTCCAATCGTTTCAGTCATCAGCGGTCGTTGCGGCAGGGCTGGCTTTGCGGGTGTCGTCTTGTCTGCCATGGCCACAATCTGTCTTCTCGCGGCATCAATCGCGACGACAGTCATCTTCAAGAACGTTAACGACGCGATCAATGAAGACTTCAATGATATTGGCATCTCTTCTGCCCTCGGGTTGCTGTTTGTGCCGACCTGGATCGCCCTCTCTTTCTCACTCCTTGCATCGGTCTTGATGGGCATCAAGACGCGCAACCCCCGAGCGCCGAAGGGCCCCACAAGCGGAATGATCACCGGTAGACGGGATATCAAAAATGGTAACGTCCAAGGTGGTGTCCCAAGGCCACTGACCCTGCTGAAGAGGGTTCAGACTTGGGGCCAACACAAGTATGTCCACATCGGGGGCGGGGGCGGAGGACAATTCGCGAATCCCAGAGGTGGAGATGGGGAGTTTGATGACGACACGGCCCTCATCGGACGTCGATACAGTCCTGAGTTGGATTCAAAGCAAGAGCAAGAGTCTAGTAGCATCGCAATGGTGCCCTTGGACCACAAGGGGAGCAAGGATATGAACCAAGCGTACGAGTCGTATACGGGCCGCGCTTTGTGATGGTTCGATTTCAGATTATCACATGCGTCATCGATAGACTCGGGAAAGGTTTTTAGAAGGCCTTTGGGCGGTATCGTTCGCGGTAGAGAGGTGCCTGGTTTCCTGCGGCTGTAGAGCCCTCAATCGTATATGTCCTGTGTATCTCGCTTGTCAGCATTGTTCACGTCGCAATAAGGATGTAATACGGATGTAACTATTCATTGAAGACATACCTTTTCTCTGACCAAACCAATGACACTTCTTGCTTGCATGTACCCTTGCGATCCCGCGGGGCTGGGCCGGTGGGATGCTTTGAGAAACGTCCGTCGGGCCTGTGGTCGATGCCTTCCTGGTGGACGACTAATGACAAATCATGCCGATCAGGAGACTGAGAATTTGACTTGTAGTAGTCGCCCTGATGGCAAGTCTCGCAACGGAGCAACTACTTGCCGGCAACCTGCTGTCGTTAGGATTGGTGTGTATCTTCCAACAAATCCTTATCCAAGTAGCACTGGACGGCCGAGGCTGTTCAAGCACGCCGCAACGTCCCAAGAGTCGGCCGCAATACTTTCCCTCTTTTGCCATACACCTTCAACAATATCTATTGTTAGCTTTGTCGAGCCAAATGACCCTAAGGGACCCATGTGTGAGAACAATTCTCGAAACGCAGGCTCTTGCTCAGGTTGCGCCAAGCATCCCGCTACACACAACGGCCAAGCAAGCGTATGAATTCGCCGTGGCGTTCTTAGTCTCATACATAACTCAATGATTTGAGTGACAGAGTCGGCGATATCGATGTTGGCTGGTTGCCATCCGGAGAGCACCACGTGGAGGTATACCAACCCTGCGTGCGCCCAGATCTGCGTGACCAAGTGGCAGGCTTCTGCCTCGTCATGGGCTTGATTTGAGTCGGCCAGCCATGGCGGTCGATGGTCCCTGGCTATTGCGGCAATTGTCTCCAATCGGCTTAAGCCATCGCGCAGACTCTGCTCGATGTCCGTCCCCTTCTTGACAAGATGCATCAATGACAGCGCTCCTTTCTTTTGCATGGTCTTCTTCCAGGCGTCAAGGGCCGCCACCTCGCCAACCAGTATCATTGCCCAGTTTTGGCAGCCGACATAGCCTTCCAACCTTAGTCGACAGTTTCGATCCGGGTCTTCTTTCGGTTCGTCCTCCGCTGCTAGGACGAGAGGGTAGTAGGGTTGAAGCCGTGGGATCTGTTCAACGCCTGTGCTGCAGATGATGTCGTGGACAATCAGCAGACCAGAAAAGAAGCGAAAGGCGGCCTGGTCCACTGTCCATGCTGGCCACCGAGGCGGATTGTCCATACCCGGGTGGGCGAGCCGTCTCATGTGTTCCAACATGGCGTCCCACTTTGACCGATAGCTCCCGACGTCTCCGGGGAACTCCAACATCTGCTTGAACAGAAGAACCGCAGCGTCTAAATGGAACTGCCAGTTTTCATTGCTGGCTATGGAGACTTCGAGGCACATCAGATGTACGATGCTATCAAAGAGACGCGCGCTTGTGAGTAAATCCCCGTGTACACCATGTTTACTAACCTCGTTTAGGTCGAACTGGGCTTTCCTCATGGCCATGCATGTTTGGTTCTGCACTTCCTCCTCGGCCTCGGGCACGCAATCCCGTCTTTCTGGCCGCTGTTGGACGGGTACCACGGAGTAGAAGTAAGAGGATAGACTGGTAGCGGCGTGGCAGAGTGATTTGTTGGCCAGGGTGAGAATAAGCAACCACGTGCGCCCGCCCTCGAGAACGCTGGGCGTGTAGAATGGGAATACTGCAGGGAAGATGTAGTCGATATAAGACATGATGTAACTTTGCTCGAGTTCTGTAGGGAGGTTTGGCAGAGATGGCGGCGTGATGTTCTGCAGGAGAGGGTCGATGGGGTAATCAGAGCCAGGGCTATTGGTGAATGATCCGGATGGCGTGCCAGTCCGGCGGGATGTCGTACGGAGTGCATCTTGTCTTTCCTTGTCGTTGTCCGCCGAACGAGGCGCCGGACGGGAGTTGATATGCGCGGGAGGATCCAATACAAATATGTCGCTAGATATATCATCCGCGTCTCCGATGATGCGCTGCAAGATCCTTCTAGCCCTACGGCGCTTGGCTCCATTCCTGACCTCCGTCTTGAGCCTCTCGGCCATAGCCTGCTGCCTTGCGCCTCCATCCATCCATTCTGGAACCTCCTGGTCGGAGTAGCAGCTGATCTCGAGGCCGGCACACACATTGCACACCGGCAGCGTTTCGTCGCACTTTTTGTGGCGTATGCGGCACGTCCAGCAGCTCGACGTGCCACGGGGCATGTTTCCGACTTGATCAGGCCGTTCGGTCGTTTTTCCCTTTATTTTCCGAAAGAGGAAGCGGCGTGGTACAAGATATGGCTGAATAGCTGAAAAGGAGGTGAGGATTTCCGCGCGCCTGGCCTTGGACTCGGACGGTTAGGTCTTAAAGGGACCCGCTCGGGGCGCGGTCCGCACGACTTGGGTCCGCGCGCAAAAGTTTCCCGCCCGGAATGGTTTCCGCGCGGGAACCAAGTTGGGCGCCGGACTTTGGGGCATGGCGCGGCGGCGGACTTTGATGCAGATGCTGGATGACCATCGTGACTTACAAGTCTGGCTGCGGAATAGGGAAACAGATCAATGCGGAGGAAAATGTGTCTTAATCGTCGGAGAGTCGCTTGGTAAGTTTGAGCCACGTTGTCATTGTATCCAACTCATTTTTTCGCATCGCAATGCCAGGCAGCAAAATTCTCGTTCTCGGAGGCACGGGGCCGGCGGGCATTTGTCTGCTTCGGGAACTCATTTTTCGAAACTATGAGACCGTGGTCTTTGCGAGGAACCCTACGAAGATCCCTCACGACTTGGTCTCAAACCCACTTATCCAGGTCAGGCCCTTCGTCAACCTTCCTATCGCTGCATCACAATTTCTTTGACTAGCGCTGACAAGAAGTTCAAGGTTGTAAAGGGTGAGATGAGCGATTCTGGTGCCTTGTCTTCTGCAATGGCAGAGAGCACTATTGTCATTTCGCTTTTGGGGCCCGACATCAAGAATACGAAGATCGATCCGTCGCTCTTTGCAGATATCTACCGCTCATCTGTCTTCCCTTCAATGAGAAAGCATGGAGTGAAGCGAATTTTCGCCATGGGGACATTGTCCATCAAACGACCCGAAGACCATTGGACCATGTTTCAAACGATGGTCACTGTTTTCATGTGGCTTTTTGCAGGCCCGATCTACAATAACGTGTTGAATCTTGCGAAGTTGTTTGAGACCGAGGCCGAGGGTTTGGACTGGACGCTCTTTCGGATCGCTCAAATTCCCGGCGAGTCGGCTGCCGAGAGCTGGGACAAAGATAGACAGGAGAAACTCTTCACCGGTTGGATCGGAGAGTCCGGATGGACATCTTCGATGAAAAGAGGGGCCTTGGCAAAGTGGCTTGTTGATGCTGCGGAAGGCAAGGCGGACGAATGGAAAGGGAAGATGCCAGCGCTTAGCTCTTCCGTTGCCAAGTAAATTCTGCATCGCCTTGCATCAGATACCACGAGAATGCTGACATTGGCGGATTTGCTGATCATATGTCCGCAGTGGAAGCTTTACTTAGACAATTTAATTTCATCAACTCATCCGCATTGACAACGTAACCTCCGCGGCAACTAGAGCAGAATGACATTCAGCGATACTAGTGCTTATTCGTATATCATTGGTGGCTTGGAATGACTTACCGATCACCTTAAATTCACTCAAGCGGAGTTGATATGTGAGTGTTGCGTATTGGCTCATTTCAGGCAAATCCATCAGAAACTTTGTATCAGTTCAACTGAGCAGAACAACATCCAATAACAAGCAACTTGAAAAGATGTTTAGAAAAGATGTAATGTGTAGCAGAAAGTTGATTGATTGCACCCCACAGTAAGTCTAGTGTAAACATCCTCGCCTTCTCGTGTATTGGGCCGTACTCATTACGAAGCTAACAGTTAGTAACAGGAACTTGCAATAGCTCGACTCGAAAACGACCTGGTTTGGTCTAAGCCACGTTAATGCAAGGGACCACCTTTTTACCACCTCAGCGTAGCATCCTGATTTTGGGCCTGAACGAGGTACGAAACCGAATGCGATAACTTCTGATTCGACGATTCATATCTTGGCAACTTGATATTCGACTATACAATTGACCCGAAAGCGAGATTCGCAGACCGCCAACCCGAGCTTCGTCGTTTTTTAACACTCTCAATCGACACCTTGAAGGAGGAAGCTCTGCAAACATTCTTCGCTTCATCTCAATTTTGCAATCTATTCTCTCATCATGTCTCCAGGCCGCCCCGTTCTTGCCGTCATTGGCGCCGGCAGCATGGGCGTTGCCATTGCCCGTCGGCTCGGTCCGTCCCACCACATCCTTCTTTCCGACTTTTCCCCTGCAACCCTCTCAAACGCCGAAGACTCGCTCCGCTCTGCTGGCCACTCATTTACGGCCCAGTCAATTGACGTCTCCCAAAAAGAATCTGTAGCATCTTTCGCGGAGGCCGCAGCCAAGCTGGGTCCTATTCAGATTGTTGTGGTGACAGCGGGTGTGTCCAACGCAGCTAATAATGCCGAGTTGATTTACAACACAAATCTCCTTGGCGTTGCCTTCATCATAGACTCATTTCAACCATTGATGGCCCCGGGCGGTTCTTTAACTGTGATAGCCTCTATGGCAGGTCATATGAAGAAGCCGAACTCCGCTCTGGACGACCACTTCGCAACTGCCTCTGTTGCCGAACTCCTCAACCATGCAGACATCAACCTCGTCGGAGACCCAGGCGACGCGTACTCCATTTCAAAAAGAGGCTGCATAGTTCGGGTTCGTCATGCTGCAATTGCTTGGGGTCGTCAAGGAAATCGGATCAACACCGTGAGCCCGGGTGTCACCATGACCCCAATGATCGTCCAGGTGATGCAGTCAGCCGCGGGATCGATGTTGGAGGGCATCATCAAGGGCGTCCCTCTTGGTCGCATCGGGACGCCCGACGATATTGCCGGTGCTGTTGTCTTTTTGGCGGGCCCGGATGCCACGTATGTCAACGGAGCGGATTTGCTGGTGGACGGAGGCTCGCGGGCGACTCACCGGTGGCCCGGCACCGAAGCGGGGGTCGACAGGGCCGAATAAGTGGAGACCCCGAAGCGTTCAAGCCTTTCCTGATCTGGTATGCACGGCATTTCGGTACACTGGCCGTTGCGCATCGGAATATCGGGCAAATACCGATATTGCCCGACATAATTCGGCAATACTGACCTTGCTCAGAGAAAACGGGTCAATTTGTGCGGGGGGCTTTTGTGTGGCATGTGATATTCCCCCTTCTGCGCCGCTGTGGCACATTTTACAGCCACAGAGTGTTTCTGCATAGCTAGATCTCATAGGAAAATTGTGTTAGAGCTTTTGTTCATCGTTTTGCGTATTGTACTTGCACCCTGCGTGGGCCATGAGATCGCAGGATCGCGTCCGCTCATGATTTTCAGTTTGGCTCTTTTTACCATTCCCATGAAAAGTGGCATGACTTGCGTCGTATGTGAAATTTTTGCCTCCGGCTTACCCTTATTCGCTCAGTGTGAGGGAACCGGAAAATTTCGAGTGTTAAAGTCCACGGAGAAAGAAATAGAGAGGCCATGCACATTACCAAGCAAACAGCCTTCGAACTAATTCATTGGCAATAAACTTCACTCTCTAAACTCTCTGCCTGCGTTCTCAGCGATGACATTCCATCTGATATTACAGCTGTAGCCGCGTAGCGCTTTGATATCAGTCGGAAAACCGTCGTATATCCGATGCAATTCGGGATGAGCTCCTCTGTAATAACTGTAACACTAACTCAGTCCCTATCGTTGGAACTGTAATACTACGGTAGATCTTCATCTAAGTTGCCGGTGTCCGTCGATGATACTTTGGATCGTGTGGCTCGAACGACGAGGAACAGACAAGGTTTCTTAGACAATGATCCGATATGGGATTCTAGACCCGGTAGTTATTTCTTCGTTCGAATATAACGAGGAAATATTGATAGAGAATATGAGGCTTTGACTGTACAACTTGAATCCTTGTTGACCACTTTCAAAGCTTCAATGTAGGACACTGAAAGAAGGTTCAACCACAGTTAAATGCTTGATCACATGTGGAAATAACTAGAAGTCCGACTTCCAGTTTGAGCACTTCATGGGGCTTCTCACAGTATCATTCCTGATGTTTATATTTGCATGCACCTGTATTCGTTCCTTTGCCATCTCATTTTCTGATCCTTCTATTGCGATCGCATGCATATTCTCAACCGCCCAAGACCCTGTCGATACAAACCTCAATTCACCATGAAGCATGAAACAGGCCCACTGTCCACATGAATCCGCGCCGGGATCCCTTCACTGTCCGGTGGTTGCGAGTTCGAAAACATCAGCGCAGTCGCATCCGTTTGCGATTCGCTCAAACGAGCAACCTTACGATGCAACCCCGTAGATGCCGACCACTGGCCCGAACAGGTGAATTGTCAACAGTCTCAGACCAATTGAGAGAGGGACGAAGACGTTTATTGTTTCCATTCAGAATCACATCGCGTAGTCTTGCACTGGAACGGGGTTGTGGATGATCTTCGAACTCTATTTTTGCCTCTGAGTTTCTTGGCGCCCTGAAACGGCGCCTTTCTGACCTTGGCATCCAATACGCCTGGCATCCCTAATCCAGCAGTAAACAAGTACCTTCGGCGTTCATTTCTCAATCCAAAGTGAAGTGTGGTGAAGAACTGGCCTTGTGGTGTTAGTCGGGTTGATAAAGCGACCCGGGCACGTGGGAAACATTCCGGCTGGTGAAGATTTGGGATGTCGCGTTCAAGCATATACCTTGTCAAGCGACCACAGCTACACTCTCCTGGTCCTATCGAAGCTTTCTCCTAGTTCGGAGGCCCCCGAGCCGTGAACTTGTTTCTCTTGCCCCGCCTGATGCTCGGAAGTCGCCGCACTTTGGCGGGAGGAAATCTCCGAATGTGACCATGCGGCTCAAAGCTTTGAGTCGGAGCCCTCTCCGAAGCATTGCGACGTGTTTCCCGCTTGTTGGGCAAGACAAGTGCTATTGAGCCATTATTTGTACAATTAAGACCAGGAGGGATTCAACTTTCAAGTCATGATATCATTGGCGTACGCGGCATAAACGACCCTTGGTCCCTAGGAAAGGGTCTGTCTGTCCGTTAATTCGTCTGGAGGCACACGATAGCTCAAGATATGGCCGAGTCTGTTCTCACCATAGGGTCTTTCATGCGAAAGTCGATGACAGCCACTTAGAAACACTGAGATGTGATTGTAAGAAATCAAAATTGAAGGTTGCGAGCTCCTCATGGGCCGACATGCTGCGTGTGCGCGATGGTGACAGGATGTTTCTCTGAGCACTCTAACCATTTCGCAACGCATTTTCAATGCTGCAAGGATAAGGAGTGACATCCCACCCGCTCTTCAAAAGCTTGTTCCCAGTCCGCCAATGAGGAGGTCCAATGGTGGTGCGGGACGTGCATGTTCCTGAAACTTTGAGCTCAAAAGTCTGCGGTACCCCGCGCACGTCCGGCCTCTTTGAGCACTGTCGCGAAGCTTAATAGCCTCACTGTTTCTGTCTCATCGCCAGAGCATGTTGGCCAATTTGGTGCAGCTCGAGATCCAGGATATCAGTCTAACGTTTGGTCCGTGATGCACCAATACTGGGGTGTTGGTGGTAAAGTGATGAGTTGGGCAGAACATAAAGATCATCTACTTCCTTAGACCCAACCTTGCTGCTTGTCCCCGCCAATGCGCCCGATTCGCCCTGTTGTCACTTTCGCTCTCAACCCTCTTGTATATCATCAGGTGCAGGACGCCACTCATTCCGCTACGTATCAGGTTATTGGTAACTGAACGGCAACCTACCACCAGACACCAACATGAAGTCCATTCTCAGTATCGCGGCGTTGTTCGCCCCCCTCGCAGCCGCTAATGTCGCCCATGGCGATATGCCGCCGAGGAGCATGTCGACATCCGAGTTCCACCAGGCATTTATGGAGAGTGGTATCGTCCCAGAAGTGATGGGATCGTTTGACCCCATGGTCTCTTTCTACGCCGGATACATGGCCAGCGATGGTGACAAGGCGTTAATGATGCCTGGTTCCAAGTTAAAAATGAAGGAGGTCAAGATGCCCTTTGAGTTCAGTGTGGAAAATATCAGCATGGCACAAAATGTGACCAGGAATTCTCGGTTCATCGTCTTGATGGTAAGTTATGAGTATGTTTGGGGGATTTGATGAGGAATGACTGGACTGACGCTCGGGAACTAGATTGGGCCTGACTCGCCGTCGCGTGAAAACCCAAGCGAGCGAAACATAAGGCATTACTTGGCTGGAAACTTCACTGTTGAACAAACCAAGTCGGCAGTGCTAAATTCTTCAATGATAATGAAGAATTCATCAGCAGCGTTCACCGAATACATGCCGCCCGAGCCCAAGTCCGGCAGTGGCATGCATCGATATATTTAC